CTACAAAGATCTAAGATATATATCTTCTAACAAAGATATAAACAATATAAAAGATATTCTTAAATATAAATTAATATCTAATTAAATCTAAATTAATTCTAACACCATCCCTTAATTTATATTTACCCAAAACTAACAACACCAATTCCATCCCTTAAACCAAGAAATTGATCAGTTTTGATAGCCTTTGTCATAACATCTGCCAGCTGCTTGAGTGCTACAGTGCACAACTTCTAATATTCCATTCTGAACTTGATTCCTCAGAAAATGATACTTTGTCTCAATATGCTTGCTTCTCCCATGCAACACTGGATTCTTGGCAAGATTGATTACAGACTTGTTATCTATCATCAACTTCAGAGTTTTATTTACCCCAATCTTCAGATCTTTCAGCAAGTTCAGAATCCACACAACTTGACATGCAGTTAGAGCATCTGCAATATATTCAAATTCACAAGTTGATAGAGCAAAAACAGGTTTCTTCTTGGAACACTAAGAAATAGGACCTCCCAGAAATTTGAATAAGTACCCAGAAGTACTTCTTCTGTCAACTCTATCTCCGCACCAATCAGAATCAGAATAACTCAGAAGTTCAGATTCAATCTTTCTTCCAGACGGAAATAACACTCCATATTTCAGAGTTTCCTTCACATACCTCAGAATCCTGATTGCAACTTGGTAATGTGACCACTTTGGTTTGCCCATAAATCTACTAACCATTCCAACTTCATAGAAAATATCAGGTCCGGTATTACACAAATACCTCAGAGAACCAATCATCTATTTGAAGGTTGTAGCATCCACATCCTCTCCATCAGAATCAGAGTGCAACTTCTGATTCGTATCAGCGGGTGTGATAGCAACCTTGCAGTTTTTTAGCTCAAATCTCTTCAGAAGCTCTAGTTCATACTTCATCTGATGTAAAATGATTTCTTTCTCATAGTACATAAATTTCATCCCTAGAAAGAAACTAATTTTTCCAAGACCTTTCATCTCAAATGCATTCATCATAACTTTCTTGAACTCAACTATCTCTTGTTCAGAACTTTCTGTAAGTAGTATGTCATCAACGTACAAACAGACCAGAATCATATTATCTTCTTAAGTGTGCTGAACATAAACACCATACTCCATCTCACACTTCTGAAACCCTTGTTCCTTGAAAAACGAATCAATCTTCAAATTCCAAGCTCTGGGCACTTGCTTCAATCCATACAATGCTTTGTGTAATTTGAACACCATTCCTTCCCGATTCTTTTTCTCAAATCTAGGAGGTTGTGAAACATACACCTCTTCTTGTAATGGACCATTTAGAAATGCAAATTTTACATCTAAATGCATCAGAGGCCAATTCCTGTTAGCAGCTATTGCAATCACTAGTCTGATTGTTTCATGTCTCGCTACAGGTGCAAATACTTCAAAGTAATTCATCCCAGGCTTCTGTAGGAAGCCTTTTGCTACTAATCTCGCTTTGTGTTTGCCAATTGATCCATCCGGCTTTAGCTTCTGCTTGAAAATCCATCTAACGCTGATGGATTTCTTGCCTTTTGGAAGTTCTGTCAGCTTCCAAGTCTTGTTTCTATCTGTAGCTCAAGTTCTTCTTTCATGGCCTGTAACTAAACTTGCTGCTTAAGAGCCTCTTTCGTACTCACGGGTTCAGAGTTTACTAATATTGCACACTTAATAACTTCTCCTTCAAAGTTTACTTCAGTATCTGGCAACATGTCAAACTCTGCAAATCTTCTTGGGATACTTCTAACTCTTTGTTGCCTCTGAACTAGATCTTCAGAACTTTGGACACCAAAACTTTCCCCTTCAGAAGCACTTGCTTCAGAAATCGCTTTCTCTAGAACCTTGACTGTCTTCAGAGTCTGGATCACCATCAGAGTCAGAGCCACTACCTTCAGAAATACCATCTTCAAAAGTTGGATCACCTCTGCCTTCAGAAGTTCCACTTTCAGAATCATGATCATCGCCAAAGGCTGAATTTCCTTCAGAAGCTCCTCCTCCAGAAGTTCCACTTTCAGAATCATGATTTCTACCAGAAACATGATCATCTTTAGAAGCTTGTCCTCTAGAACTTACGTCTTTAGAGTTTTCCCTTCTAGAAGCATGGTCACCACCAAATTCTGGATCATCATCAAAATCTGGATCAGAATCAAATTCACCATCTGACTCACCTTTAGAGTTTCCAGAGTCATCATCTTCTGACTCTTCTTCAGAAGCAGAATCTTCTTCAGACTCAAAATCACCTTCGGACTCTGACTTGTCTTCAGCTTCAGAGTCATCTTCTGACTCTAACTCGTCTTCAGAAACCTCAGATTCTGACTCATCTTCAAAATCTTCAAAGTCGTCATCTGATTCTAACTCAGAGTCATATTCTGATTCTGACTCCTACAAAATCACTCTTTCAGAATCAGAATATTCATAGCCATATTCTTCTTCCCCCTTCAGAATCAGAAAATGACAATTTCACTGGTTCCTCATCAGATTCATAAGCCATAAATAGCACATGTTCATCATCTGAATCTCCTCTGGCTACATTTGCTTCTTTTGACTTCCTTTCTTTGTTTGACCAACAATCTTTGGCATAGTGACCAAAGTTCCTGCAACAGTAACACTGGACATTCTTCTTGTCAGACTTCTCCTTTCCCCCCTGGACATTCTTCTGCCTATCAGAGTTTGAAGCTTCTGACTTTTGACCACCATTAGATTTCTTCCTGACTTCTGACCAAGTCTGCTTCTGATGCTTCTTACCGGAAGTTACCTTCAGAGCCTGCTGCTCTACTTCCCTCTCAGAAGTTCTTGCAGTCATACGCAACTCATGCGCCTCTAGACTACTTTGCAGTTCTTCAACTCTCATGGTGCTCAGATCTTTGGAATATTCAATTGTTACCACAATGTAATCAAACTGAGAAGTTAAAGATCTCAAGATCATCTCAATGATTACTTGTTCAGAAAGAATTTCTCCATAAGCTTTCATCTCATTAGTGATCAGAATCACTCTAGAGATGTATTCAGAAACCTTCTCGTTGTCCTTCATGTTGAGATTCTCATATTGCTTTCTGAGAGACTGTAGCTTCACCTTCTTCACTGTTGCGTCACCACCGTAACATCTAACCAGTGTGTCCCATGCAACCTTCGTTGTTTCAGAATTAACAATCTTCTCAAACACATTTGCATCCACACATTGATGGATGTAGAACAACACCTTCTGATCTCTCTTCCTCAGTGCCTTCTGTGCTATCTTCTGGGCCTCTGTTGCATCTGCTTCTAACAGATTATAGCCATCAGTAACAAGTTCTAACACATCTTGAGAACTAAATAACACACGCATCTGGATCTTCCAACGATTTCAATTTTTACCATCAAATACTGGAAGCTTGGAATGAATATCGCTACCATTTCCGTTCATCTTCTACCTTATACAACTTACGCAGAGTTTTCCAAATCAATGTTTTCTCAAAATCCCCCAGAATCAGAATATTGTAATTCTTAATCACAATACTTCTTTTCCCGTGGATTTCGAACCGGAGCTCTAGATACCAATTGTTGGTGCACAAGGAAGATAAAAGACAAAAAGAATATTTATTGATAGCTTCAAAATAAGGATTTACAATGAGTTTACAATAACCTACTCCACTAGGCTATTTAGACACAAAATTAAATCTAAAATATATCTTCTACAAAGATCTAAGAAGATCTAAGATATATATCTTCTAACAAAGATATAAACAATCTAAAAGATATTCCTAAATATAAATTAATATCTAATTAAATCTAAATTAATTCTAACAACATCAACGAAGTGGAGAAGTCATTATACAATCAAATCCGAGAATTGGCCGAACCAATTTATTGAAAGGATGCAAAAGTACACCAAATTGCGCAACATTACCATATAAAAATAAGGAAAAGTCAAAGGGGTACCACCTGTAGATTTGGTCGACGACAATTATTCTGGTTCATTTAACTAGTTATTTATCATTTTATTGTATGTGACATTTCGTTAATGTGTTATGGTGTCTAATATAAGTATTTTGTAGTTTGACAAAAAAATTCAGCATTCAATACAAGTTTCTATTTTCTAATACTAGAGAAGTTTCCAGAAGTATATCTCTGGAAGAAACAAATAAAGGGTGATTCTGGAGTTACATTTTCAGAATATTATCTGTCACAAGATAGAGTTTGTATGGTCCATATTAGCATCCCAATACTATAAATAAGCTCACTTGTCATATTGTTTTATACCAAAACACAAAAAAAAAAAAAAATAGACTGAACACATCAAATGACGTGTTGGAAATGTTCACTTTATCAACAATACACTATCACGTGAATTTAAGACATCGAGTACACCCCTCTTAAAGATCTGCAATAAAATTACGAATATCGAATACCGCTCACCATCGGTTAACAAAAAAGGAAAGCTTGAATTCATCAACCATAAAATGTTAACAATAACATGAGAGACAGACAGCAGCAGCATTGGTGAAAGGAGACCCGCCTCATAATCCCCACCAGAAGGCCGCTGTCTGACATTCCCACATTAAAAAACGACGATCAACATGCACAACAAAACCTCACCAAAAACACACTAATATTTTCCCATTAATTTTTAATCAGAATTTCTCATTTCTCAGTTTCCTTTAAATAACAAATCATTTGCATTTCAGCGCTTTTCTGGAATGAAATAAAACAGTTTCTTTCTTCTAATGCTTCATTTTCTCTTCTCAGGTCAGGGTTTCACATTTCTCATCGATCCAAGCTTCGAAACCACAACTCGTTACTTCCACTGTGAGTAATGATGCTCTAATACCATGCATGATCCTCTATGAATCTTGCTATCTCATTTTTTCATTTTTTGTTCTTCAATTTCAGTTTCTTTGTTTCTTGATTTCCTGAACGGTTACGTGTTCTTTTGATTAATGCATTGACTATCTATATGTTGAATTTTATTACTGATTTCAGGTTTGAATACTTGAGTTGATTTCGATATAATGTCTTCAAGATATCCGATTCTTGATGAAAAGGGTTATCCAATTGAAACAGAAAATGAAGAAATGGTTCCAGATGTTGTGAGCAATGAGAGTGTAAAGAGTGACAAGCAGTGTGGTATTATCGAGACGGTTGATGATGATAGTATTGCAATGGTGGACCAAGAAGTGGAACATATGGAGTTTGCAGCTTCTGCAGTTTCGGTGAATGTGACGCTGACAGAGGACTTGATTCGCTCTTCTACTAAAGAGACCGTTGTTGCAGTTACTGAGAGTGTCTTAACAGAAGCAGTAGTATGCGGTCCCGAGGGTTCAAGTAGTGTAAAGCCACAGAATGGTTATGGTCAGGATTCTGTTACCAAGCAGGAGAATAAGGAGTCAAGGCCCCAGCTGGAGTGCGACGCTAAGCCCCAATGTGAGCATCTCACACCCAACTCTTTACTTCCTGAAAATCACGTATCTGAGGTCAGCCCTAGTTTAGGGTCACAAGTAAAATCTGATTCTGTTTCTTGTAATTTTGTGTCAACTAATCAAAAGAATGAAATAAAGAATACTATAATTGCTAATGGTGACAAATTAGAACAAGAAATTGTTAGGTCAAAGATGGTGGAAGAACCATCGTCCAGAATTGATGTCCCTGTTTATGATGAATCACATTCAATGGATGTTGAAGAGCTAGACGAGATAAAGTTACCTGTTGAGGAAAATAGCAGTATCAACAAAAGACCAAACCTGAACAAGACCAATAGCAATGGAGATGTTGGGTATCCAGAAAAGTTCAACTTGGATGGAAATTTTGATGATGAGTCCATGGATGAGGATATGCTGGAGATCAAGCAATTTGATTCTAAGTTTAATAATGAACTTGGAGAGAAAAGGGAAAGTGTTGAAATAACGAATGTGAAGGAGCATGATACTGTTGTGGTAAGAGATGGTCTATCTTCAAAAGATGGTGCCTACCATAATAATGATATTCCTTCTGTTTTCCTTGTCAAAATACACAAATTTCCAGGTATGTTTCATATACATAATTTGATTCTTGATTTCATTTTTCACATGCCATATTTGATTTCAATGCTGTGTACTTTGTATTACATCTTTGGCTGTCTGAATATACATTGTGTATTTTCTAATCATGTTGAATTGTGATATATATCATTTGTAGTGTGGGAGTTTGGTTTCACGTGGAAACTAGAAATTGATCCATAGATTCTAGAGTTATTTAACTAACTAACTAACTGAATAACTGATTGCAAAAGCTGTTTTCACTTGTCCTGAACTAATCAGTGTCAACTTAACAAACCAGAGTTAATTGTATTTAACTTAATTTACTCAGGTAGAAGTAGTTAGAGAGATGGTATTCATATAAATACCAAATTTTGTGTGTACAACTGTTATCTTTAGTTCAATAAAATACAAACAATTTTTCTTTTGATTTTGGGGAACTCTCTCCTTCTTTCTCTGGAGCTTAGTTTCTAATGCAAGTTAGCTTTATCTCACTCTCTGTATGGATGAAACGGTGCAATAATTCTCTATCATAAATCATATCTTACCCAAACCATGGATCAAAAGAGTCTCTTGCAAGAAAACTTAACTATGTTTCAATTTTTACTCTCACAATTTTAGTGGCAAGTGAAAAGAGGTGTGAGTCATCAAGAATTCATTTTATCTGCACCTTAGTTGCCTACTACATCAATATGACGATTATGTTGATGATTTCAGATACTTGTAAATTCAGATATTATATTTTATAACAATATTTATAGTTTCGGATACTTGTATGCATTAGCTTTCTGTATTCCGTTTGCAATTCCTTTGATGCGGCATTTCTTCTTATGGGCGATTCTTTGGAGAAACAAGAAACTAAATGTGTAACTTATACCACGTTTCTGCCATGCTATGCGTTTGTTTTTAATGATGAGCACATTTATGTTTTTATTCCCCCTCTTAATTATTTGGAGAATTGTGCCACAGATCAAACATCAGTTGAGAATAACAAGTCTGCAAAGCGACAAAGGTGGAACTCTGAAACAGTTAAAGGTTCAAATACACAAAGGTCAACTGTCAAACCTGCTACTGCACCAACGGTTGAGCCAATTTCATTGAAGTGCAATTTCTCTTTGTCTGATTCCCCAGCAATTGATGATGCACGCAAAGAACGTATTGGTAAGTCGACATTTATTCAGTATGGGGTGTAAACTATAAAGAATTGATTACCTTACTCGTGGTCCTGAATGAATAAATATCAAATTTGAATTTCTGTCTCGTAGCTCTAAATAAGAAAAAGTGGAAACATAGACAATTCCTCAAACTATTTAAATCTAATTGGTTGTATATCTGATAGACTAATACACTAACAAAAGTAGTCGCTCTCTTTCTTTTGTAACATAAATAAAAATTCATTAGTTGATTGTCCGTAGTTGTACACATTTGCTGGCAAATTGCTGAATGTTTCATGGTATTTTTACTCCTTATGTTTTGTGTTTTCTGTATCTGTTGCTTCATGTCTGATAGTGTTGCTTTTTATCATTGTTAGTTCCACCATCACAAAGGCCCCCAACTAATTCCCTCAGGATTGATGGTTTCCTCCGACCTTTTACCTTAAAAGCAGTGCAAGGACTTCTGGGTAAAACTGGGAATTTCACCATTTTTTGGATGGACGTAATAAAAACCCATTGCTACGTCAGTGTAAGGCTTAATTCTTTTATCTCTGTTTTGCTACTAGTAAGGTTCCCTTGTGATGTTGCTGTATTAATGGTACATACTTCTAAGTAGTCTTCTAATGACATGATGTAGTACACTACTGTTGAAGAAGCCGTTGAGACCCGAAATGCTGTTTATAATCTTCAATGGCCTCCAAATGTTGGACGCCTTTTAGTTGCCGAGTATGTTGAACCCGAAGATGTGAAAATGAAGCTAGAACCTCCTCCCCCTGTTGACTTTGTCAACAATGATTCAACAGCTTCTCCAGTTCCAGTCACACTTCCTCCTCCGCAACTGTTGTCAAAGCTCCTGCCAGCGGCTAGAGAACGGCTTCCGCCGCCACCATCTTTGTCATTGCTCCTGCCAGCAGCTAGAGAACAGCTTCCACCACCACCACCTTTGTCAGAGCTTCCGCCACCACCTAGAGAATGGCTTCCACCGCCACCACCTAGAGAATCGTGTCCACTGTCACCACCTAGAGAATGGCGTCCACTGTCACTGCCTAGAGAATGGCGTCCACTGTCACCGCCTAGAAAATGGCGTCCACTGCCACCACCATTGTCAAATCTCTCGCCATATGTTAGAGAACGGATTCCATCGGCACCACCCCTCCCAAAGAAAGGTGACAAACTTATTGTTACAGTTGATGACTTCTTTCGCAAAACCAGAGCAACTCCTCAGATCTATTATTTACCATTATCCGACGACCAAGTTGCAGCAAAACTGGCAGCAATGGGCAGAGGCGTTAAGCAGTAGGCTGTTGTTGTTCATTGTTTTTTTTCCAATGGTTATTTTCTGGTTCTTGGTACCGTTGCATGGGTTGAGACAAAATCTATGCAGTGTAAGTACTTCACCAACTAAGAGCTACTTGGCTTGAGCGATAGATTTTCCTTGACCAAAACATTCTAAACTTTGAAAATATATGATAGAAAATGTACTTCTTTTGCCATGAAACCAAATTGTGGAATAACAATGTTAACATTGCTTGTAAGAGTACTAGCTACATAAGGAAACAAATTAGTAACACGGATTCTTCGTATACAGAATCATAGCAATGGCTTCAGTTTCATGTAACCGGCTGGTTTACACCGGTTCTCAGGTGCATGGTCAATCCAATGCTTGACTCTGTCGAGAATGTGCAACAGTTTTATGTCAACAAGTTACATCCTGTTGTGCAGTGCTTAGTTTTCAAACAGAATCATAATATAACCAGTTGACATATTATGTCAATAAGTTACATATGTAGTTTTTTCTCCAGATTATGTGACAGTAGCTAAATGCAACCGGTTGATATAATATGTCAACCGGTTATATCTAGGAGTTTTACTGTTTTTTTGTTTGATAATTGTACCCATCTTATGCAGTTATATATATATATATATATATATATATATATATATATATATATATATATATATATATATATATATATATATATATATATATATATATATTCACCCTTAATTACTCTCATTCTCTCCCACTCTCTTTTTCCACACTAAATTATTCACCGATCTTGTGGGTTGTGGTTTCAAGTTCTAACATTTGGTATTGTGTTAAAAAAAGAAGTTCTAACATTTGACATCAAGAGCTTGGAGCTTGGTTTGATTTATCAAACACCTAGTGTGCGAAAATGACTTATGTTTCCAATGAACGAATCCCTACTAATCTCCTAATTCTTGATGCGAAAAATTACAACAATTGGTGCTAACAAATGAATGTGTTGTTTGGCTATCAAGATGTTCTTGAAGTGATCACAAACGGGGTAACAACACTTATAGAAAGTGTAACGGATGCACAACGGTCTAAGTGTAAGGAGGAGAAGACGAAAGATTACAAGACACTGTTTTTGATCCATCAATGTGTTGATGTAGATAATTTCGAGAAAGTTGATGACTGCGAATCATCGAAGGAAGCGTGAGAAATCTTGGAGAAGACGTGAGGTTACAAACTCACAAAAAATAGCTTAAGTTGATTCAAATGGAGTTGAAGGAGACCATCAACGATTTTACAATGAGAATTACTCTGTTGGTGAACCAAATAAAGGCGTATGGTGAAAGGATTAATGAACAATATGTTTTCGCGAAAATCTTGTGTTCTTTGTCACCAAGATTTGACAATGTGGTGGTTGCGATTGAGGAATTGCGTTGATGAGAAAAAAGGAGTTGCAAAGCTCTCTTGAAACACATGAAAGATAATGGAGGAAAGGAATGTTGATAACGTAAAGATGGAGATCACTCTGCAAACCCGTTTCAATGAGAGAGACAAGAAGACGAAGGGAAAGGGGCCCATGAACAAAGGTAGATGGAACTTTCAGAATTTTTATGGAAGAAAATCCCAAAGTTCAAAAAATTCAACATTCCAAAAGGGTGAAAACAGTGGAAATATGATTCTGGATCAAATAACTCTAGAGGTGGCAATGTAAGACATAGAGGAAGAAGAAGGATGATTGACAAAAGCAGTGTGCATTGCTATAATTGTAAAAAAAACTTGGTCATTTTGCAAGAGAGTGCAATGCCAACAAGAAAGAATCTCAAGAAGATGAAGCAAGAGTTGTAAGATAAGAGGTTGATGAGGAGAACACCCTCTTGATCATGATCACAAAAGGAGAATGCACCAGTAACACGTTGCAAGACAATTGGAGTAACAACAATTTGAAGAACACTGCAGAACCAATATCTAACCAGTTGCAGTTTTATGCTAACCGGTTACATGCAGTAGAAAACGCCATGGTGACTACGAAAGAAGCAGTGAAGTGAAACGATCAATGGTATTTAGACTCTGGGTATTCAACGCATATGACAAATGAAAAATTGGTTTGTTACAATCAATCATGCCATGAAGAACAATGTTAAATTCGCAGATGATACCACTTTAGCAGTGAAAGGGATCAATGATGCATCGATCGAGATAAGGTATGATAAATATTTTTTGATAAATGATGTGTTGTATATTCCCATAATCAAGTGTAATCTTCTAAGTATTGACCACATACTTGAGAAGGGTTACAAAATTGATATGGAGAACAAGGCACTACACGTTATGGACGCAAACAAAATTTTGGTCATAAAGGTTCCTATGACTCCCAATAGAACTTTCAAGTTTGAGTTAAAGTTCATGGAACATAGATGTTTTGATATAACGGTTAGTCTAGAAGAGTGGATATGACACTATAGACTCGAGCTTCTTAATTTCTGAGATCTCAATGCCTTGCAAAAGAACAAAATGGTGATGGGGCTGCCATTGATCAGTATACCGACTGAAAAATGTGAAAAATGTGTGCCAACGAAGCAACATAAAGGAGAATTCATCAAGGGTGCAGGTTGTAGAACCAAGTGTACCTTAAGGTGGTGTATTCGAATGTGTATGGACCAATGCATGTTGATTCCATTGGCGATAATAAATGTTTTGTCACATTCATTGATGGTCATAGTAGAAGCAATTATTCCAATGTTTGTGATAGTGATTCCAACAGTGTCTAAGTTTCCAAGGCACCACAATGTTTGTAGTGATATAATTTTATTGGTCCCTTACAACGAGACGATCCTTGAAAAGGAAGGGAGACTAAGCGTAATAACGAGGGGCAAACTACCATGCAAAGTTAGAGATCGCCCGAATGGGCCATATGGTCGCCCGAAATGGTTCATGAGATCGCCTGGACGTTTGTGAGAGGCCACCCAATTGGGCTTTATCCATATTTACTAACTTTCATTGCCCACTTACCTAGTAGACATGGGAATGGCATGTCACACTATAACAAACTCGAAGAGATAGTCAAGGATGGTAACCACATGATTCATGGAAGAAATGGTCTTCCATCACTCCTGCTCTCCGACCCATAAATCCTTCTATATATACATCATTTCCAGGGGAGGAGAGATCAATCTCACATTTACACATTCAGAGATAATACCCATAACAAAGCTTCTCACAACCCTCATGAGCTTGCTTTAGAACCACCACAAACCATCAAAAGCCTATGGTAATTCATACCAATTAAGGATTGTCCCGCTTGTGTAATTTTTGACAAGTATAATGTCCTATGAAAAAAGTTGAACCACCAAAATAGAGTCACTCTCGATCCCAGGCTTAGACTTTGCTTTATCTTTGGCAAGCTCAATAGCCATAAAAAACGCATAGAGTTTAGCATGTAAGGAAGTAGAAAATGAGTTGGTTGGGCAAAGGCAAGCAAAAAATCACTATTACAATCTCTAAAGATGTCGCCAAAACCACTTAATTATTGATAAAAGTCGCCAACATATTTTCACTTAATCCAATCCCAAGAAGGATGTTGTTAAATAACTTCTTTAACCATTGGAGCACAAGGTGGATGCATGTTGACTTTGAAGGTTTTGATTAAATTAAAGCCAACCATAGAAGAACATGTTGTGGGTAAAGTATTGTTACCAACCACCATAATTAGAGTAAGGATATTAGAGATTGTTGTTTGAAGATGAGGGATCTTGTTTTGATGTCTGTCAAATTTCTAGCACTTCCACTACTATAGAAAAAAATGCTATAATCACAGTTGTAAAAGGGATACCATAATGGATTACCAATCATTGTGAGGTAAAAGACGGTTGTATGTATGATTATTTCCACCACGGGCGCGCGACCATGATGATATGTCACGTAGCACGCTACCTACCACAACATTTATTCCAAATAACCGTTGTGATATAATTTTGAGAAAAAAATTAACAACAACTTTTCTAACCAACTGTTGTGGTATATACACTGAGTTTATTATTAATTATGTGGAATGCTAATTTATCTAATTCTCACTAAATATATAACCTTTCATTCTGATTTAGACATTGTAATATGACAAATAAAGTTATATTAGAAGAACAAATTACACGTTCAATGTTAGATAAGAATTCTTAAGCTCCTTATCTGTATTTTGTTCTCTAATAGTGAAAACTTGGTTTTGATGTTCCTAGTTCTTCAATCCCCTTCCTTCACCTATATTTCTTTTTTTCAGCATATTATTTACATTGCAAACTAAATTAGAGGTGAAAGAAAAGGAGATTGAAAAATAAGAAGTATTAAACCAAGTTCTCATTGTTAAAGAAAGAAATGTTGGGCTCTGGCTCCCTTTATATGTGGAGAAAGACCTAAATATGAATAGCTCATTTGTATCACTTATTTAAGTGGAGAATGTCAATTTAGGGTTAAGAGAGATAGAGAGAAAATAAGGATTCAAAAAGAGAGAAAAGAGGAGAGAAACTCATTCCTATTTTTTCTGCACCAGTCTCACTAAAACGAAAATCCCCAATTCGTTCACCGCCGAATCGAGCTGAAATTTTATGGGCTTGTTTGCAACACATATATCCAACTTTTGACCGTTGGGATCTTCAAAACAAGGTATGAGTTGAGAGATATCAACTTCGCACTGAAGCTGTAGATTTGGGAAAAAATTTCAGCTTTTTTATTCTTATTTGTAAGTTAGTTTGCTTTGTGATTTGTAGTTGTTATCACTATTTTGTAAATCACTTTAAGACTCTCTTGTATCTTCAATTGATTATAGTGGAACTATTTTTCTTTGGTATGGACTACTCGTGGTTTTTACTCTTATATTGAGAGATTTTTCACGTTAAAAATATCAGTGTTCTGTTGTTCCTTTATTTGTTTGGTTTGTCGTCTTATATTTGTTGTTGATCCTCAAGGTTCCTACAAGTGAGGGGAATTATATCTGCTGCGTATTGTTCTGTCATTTTGTCTTAATTTCTCATCAGAGTGGTATCATAGCTCTT